CTCTTGCTTTATCATTTTAAAATAGTATTTACTGACTTTCTACTAAGAAAGATGAAATATTTTGTATATTTATGCTACCTCTTTTACCAACTTCTGACTTTCCCAAAATTTTATTTGTTATAGTATTATATTTTTCACAATATTTTAGTGGTTGCTTTTATCACTTTAAATAACATAATTAAATCTTTATTTCTAGATTCCTTAATTACAGTCAATATTTATTGACACTCATTTCAGAGACACTTTCTCCCACACTCTCCCTTCCCTCACTCTTTTTGACTTCCGTCAGCTAAAATATTACTTATACATTGTTAAACTTATAACAGCTACTGTCTAGGTTCAAATCTCAGCTCCAACACTTGTTATCTATGTAATCTTGGGTAAAACTGAATGTCTCTGTGCCCTCAGTTTTTTAAATTTTTCAAATGGAGATGACAACAGTATCTTTTTTTAGGGTTACTGTAAGATAAAATTTCACTTACATTGAAATAAATATTTCAAAGCAACTAAAATATTGCTTGGCATACAGTAAGTGCTTTTAAGTGTTAGATTTTAAAACAAAATGACAAAATTAAAAATAAAAGAAATTCTACTCTGTAACTTCAATGAAATCTTCAGACTTCTTTATCTATACCTTGATTTAAATAAATCAAACCAAAAGGGCAAAAGAGATGACGAGACATTTCACCAAGGAGAATATACAGATTGCAAATAGGCACATGGAAAAACGTTATCATCATTAGATATGAGAAAAAAACAATACGATATCACTACATATCTGTCAGAAGGGCTAAAATTCATGCTGAGGAAGATGTGGTGAAACTGGATCATTCATACATTGATGGTAGAAAATGTAAAACGGTACAGCCACTTTGAAAAAGGTTTGAAAGTTTCTTTTAAAAACTAAACATGCAAGCACTATACAACTCAGCAATTGTGCTCCTGAGCACTTATCCCCAGTGAGATGAAGACTTAAGTTCATATAAAAAACTGTACACAAATGTTCAGTGCGTCCTTTTTTTTGAGTGCAGTCTTACTCTGTCACCCAGACTGGAGTGCAGTGCTACGCTCATGGCTATAGCAGCCTCAATCTGCTGGGCTTAGGCAATCCTTCCACCTCAGTCTCCCTAGTAGCTAGGAGTACAGGCACGCGCCATCATGACCAGCTATTTTTAAAATTTTATTGTAGAAAAGAGGTCTTGCCATGTCGCCCAGACTGGTCTCAATTTCCTGGGCTCAGGTAATCCTCTCGCCTCTGCCTCCCAAAGTACTGGGATTACAGGAGTGAGCCACTCCACCCGGCTCAGAGCAGTTTTATTCATGAACTGAAAACAGCCCAGATGTCCTTCCACAGGTGAATAGTAAACATTCCTACCATGGAATACTACTCAGCAATAAAAAGAAATGAACTATTGATACAGGCAACAACCTGGATAAATCTCTAGGGAACATGTTGAGTGGAAAAGTCAATCTCAAAGGGCTATGTACTGTCTGATTGTATTAATATTATTTATATGCATTCCTGAAATTATAAAATTGTAGAAATGGAGAACAGTTTATTGGTTGCCATGAGTTAGGGAGAGGATGGGATAGGAGGGAATTAGGTGTGGATATAAAAATATATGGGATCCTCGTGGTGATGGAATTCTTCTGTATCTTGACCATACCAATGTCAATATTCTGGTCTTGATATTGTGTTATAGTTATGCAAGATGTTGTCAGTGGAGGAAACTGGTAAAGGGTACACTATATCTCCCAGATCTTTCTGTATTGTTTCTTACAATTGCATATGAATTTAAAATTAATTCAAAATTAAATGCGTAATATAAATATAATAAAATAAATACACAACATTTTTAATAGTAAGATCCATGTACATAATAGTCACAGCAGCAACAAGTGTGCGTGGTTGGGCCCATAGGAAGAAAAATGCAATCATATGAGTGCTGCTGGAAGGAGAATGTTTTAAGTGTCAAAATCAAATGAATTATCTTTCATTATTTTTTTCATTGATCTGGAATGATGGCACATTTTAGTTTGTTTACTGTTAGAGCCAAGATTATAGTAAAGCCTTTTGTTTTATTTTTAATTTTATTCTGTTTTTACTGATTTATTGATTTATTTTTATTGTAAAGATGTGGGGTACAAATCAGGCTGGGGTACATAAGTAGTTTGAAGTCCCTAACTGGTCCTCACTTTTGCTAGTTTTTTGTTTTCTTTAGAGTTCCTAATTGTATTTCATTTTTATTGTAAATCAAACCCACATATAAATGGCTTCTGGTTTCTTAGTTATAGGGGTTGATTATGGAATTTGTGTCCATCTTAAGGATATTCTTCACTGAAACTCCTGACTTTCCCTTGTAATTCTGACCTATTACATCCTTAGTCAGTTTAGTAGTTGCTTTCTTGGGATTTCTTTTATGAACACTTCTGTGGTGTTTTAAAATACAGACCTGGGTAGGATTGAGTTTGCCAGTTGAATCTTAGTCATTTGGAATTTCTTAGGGGAGGTATGGCTGAGGTATGAGTGCTTTGGAAAAATTAAGTGATTTTGCTGATCAATTTGATTTGGAAACTCATGTAGCTAATCTTTAAAGTTCTGTAACTGCCATTCTTCTTATTACTAATAGTAATAATATGTACTTTTTAATTGAGCATTTACTATGCTCTAGGCATTGTTTTAAGTGTGAATTTATAGACTCACTCTTTACAACAAACCTATGAAGTAGGTGCTATTATTATCTTCATTTTAGAGAAAACTAAGTATCAGAGAAGTCAAATCACACCACTTTCAAGTACCAGAGCCAAAATTAGAACCCAGGTTTGCCTGACAATATAATCCTCAATTTCAACCAACAAACTATGCTAATTTTAATGTTAGCTGTTGCCTGTTGTTCCAGACACTCAGGAGACTGGGGAGGATTGCTGGAGTCCAGGTGTTCTGGGCTGAGGTATGCTATCCTATTGGGTGTCTGCATTAAGTTTGGCATCAAAATGGTGACCTCCCAGGAGCAGGGAGCCACCAGGTTGCCTAAGGAGGGATAAACCGGCCCAGGTCAGAAATGGAGCAAGTCATAACGTCCACATTGATCATAGTGGAATTACACCCGTGAATAGCCACTGTACTTCAACCTGGGCAACACAGCAAGAACCTGTCTCTAATAATAATAATAATATAAAATAAATAAAACAAAATGGATAGACTCAATAACTCTATGGAAACATCTAGAAGTCAAAGAGCTTGGTTTTGGAGAACAGATAAAAGGACTGTGTTATCGACTAATTTTATAGCTAAAATCTGGCATCTTTTAATCAGTGAAGTCAATTAAGCAATGTAATTTTTGTGAGATATCAGGGGTATGAATAGTGGGCCATGAACCAAGTAAAAAGCTTTAAGGTTTTCTTTTGAAATCTCAGTGTTTTAGATGCCATAGAAACAACTACAAACTCTATCAATACAAATATCTTAAAAGTGTTCCCATGTCAGCATCTCTAAAAAAGGTCACATCTATGGGTTATCTGTCATTTTCTCTTTCACATTTTCTCTGGTTTCCATTTAAATAAATAATTGGAATAAGCTGTACTAATTTCTGAGCATTTGAAATGAAATACCCAGTGCGATTCTTGTTAGTGGCAATAAGAGTAGCCTCCAAGTGGCTTGGTCAGTTTGATAGCTAATTATTGGAATGATATATACTTTCCATTGTTGAACTGGAGTCTTAATTTTTACAAATATCAAATATGACTCAAATCTGTTCACATTTAAGAAGTATGCCCTGTGAGTTCTTACTGTTCTGATATGGACTGATCTTAAAGACCCACCAAGTTAAAAAAAATAGTATATGCTACCATTAATATAAAAAAGAGGAAGCATGCATATTTGTAGTTGGTAATGAATGCACAAAAATCTGAACAGACACGCAAGAAGAAAACAAAAGAAACATGCCTTAGTAATGGGTGCAAATCCAAAATCTAAATTTAAATTGTTAATGAAATGTGCAAAATCACTACACACATGCAGATAATGGAATCGTGAATTTTGTGCAACATTAGACCACTGTATGCTTTCATACCGTATGGGTTGTTTTTCTTGTGTAATTTAAAAACCCAAACCAACTCTGCTAATTAAGCTTTCCCTGGCCAGGAGCTCACTTGGATCTCTGACAGTTCCTAGTTAAAGCCTAGTTTGTGGTTTTTGACAGCAAACCAAGACCCTCTTGTTTGCTTCAGGAAAACTGGCTGGTTTTACTCCCTGGCATTATTCTGGGGGTACCCTCATCCCAACAAGTCACCAATTGTCTTGATCATGACTTATAGTTGTGCCAGATTGTTCTTGGTCATATTTTGCTTGAGATAAATAGTAATAGTAGTTATAAAATTATTGTTAATTTGTTTTTAATTTATGACAAATTATTTGAGGACCATGAATAGGTGGTATACTGAGATAACCATGTAAAGACAAAAGCAACTAAAACAAATTATTTGAAGTAATATATGTGTTTTGGCACATATTTTAATTTTTCCATTTACTGCTGTTCAGCTAGTCCAGAACTCTGAAGATGAAAACACCATACACAAGTGATATTTTATAAAATGAAATGTTTAAAATGTACTTTTTCTGATAATGACACTCAATGTAAATAGTATATAGCAATTTTTCATAATTTTATTTATTTGAGCATGTTTAGGAATGGGAAAAGAGACTGAATCAGAGACCTTCAGTACTTTTATTAAATCTACCTCATCTCCCTTTTTATGTCTCCTTACAGAAAATAAATGGCCTAAGAATTTCCACCTGCTTGGTAGGATATTTGTAAGATGTCTCAGAATATCTTGGTTTCCCAAATATATTACCCAAAGCAACTAGTTTTTATAACCTTTACCCTCTTATGGAACCCCAAACTAAGCCTGAGAGGAAACCACAAACCTGGTAAAAAAGTAACAATATTCCTTCCTTCCCTTATATGGTCTACTGGTGTCACTTATCTAAAACTCCTCAGTCTGTGACCTTGAGAAACCTAGAGGCTTAATAGGAAGAGCAGAACATCGAAGGTCATCCCTTTACCGTTATCCAAAAAGAAGAGCAAGTGTTCATCCTAACAGGTAAGTATTTTCATAATTATGGCAGATGGTGATTGAAGTAAAGGCGATTCAAAGGGGGGAGGGCATGTGAAAGCAATAATTTTGAATGTTTGACATTTGTTTTGAAACTACCTTACTACCCTGTACCCTTTACCATCTGTCTGTTATCCCTCCCAACACCCACCTCTGTCTTCCCACAGGGCTCCATTGTCTGCAGTTCCTGTTTCTCAGGGGCGGAGCTGTGGGAGGCAGCCATGGGTGCCATAATAGGCACCTGCGGCCAGCACAATGGGCTGTGGGTGCTTGTGGGAGAGACAGATTGATGTATTGTGCATGGGGGAGGAGGGCTGTCACTTGAATCCATGTGAACCCAGGCTTTAGGGGCAAGGGAGATTGACAGCTTTTGTAGGTTGCATTTCTTTTTCAAAGCTTGGCTTTAATAGACAGTAAGTTTGGGGCCCCAGGCTTTCACTCCCATAATTCTAACAGGGCAATCACGAGCATTCAGCATTTCTTTTGACCCCCCTTGTTACGCATTAAATGATTTCAGTAAAGGAATGTGCAGCATTAATTAGAATTTGTTAGCAGATACCAAGGGGAAAAGTTTCTTCACAACAACTATAGGAGGTGTCATTTATACAAAGACTTTTTTGTTTTCTTTCCCCATTACATTATCACTGCAATATGTAAGGTAGTGATTCTTTTCATTTAAATTAAGTGGAAAGCTACTAAATCTTGTTTTATTCTCCAAAAAGAATAAGGTCCTTAACACTTATCTTTTAACTTCTTTCATTTCCTAAGGTTGGTGTTTACTTTTGCTTTCAGTACGACCCATTTACTGGTCTATGTGGTTGTGTATCCAGTTTTGTGTACCATTTAGCTCTTACAATTACAGGCAACCCACTACTGATATATAAGGATTGTTTCCAGGTGAAAATAGCTACCAGTAATATTGGAAATCATTGACATGCTGGAGCCCCTTTCGGTAATGGTACATTGAGAAATGCTAAAAATTAGACTACTCTCAGTTTGTGTCCTAACTTATTTTCTAACACTGTTTTATCCTAGTTGATATTTAACCTTAACCATTACATCAAATTTATGAAATAGGGCAGCGGCCAAGGAATATTTTTTCCCATTGAAAACTCTTTTCTAAACATGTCAGATTTTTAAACACCAAAAGTCCCTCCCAACACACACATAGATAGTATCGTTTTCTTGTAGCGAGTAAAAAATGGTCTTTTTGTTTTGTATCTATTTTCTATTCTTTTAAAAAAAATTCCCGACATTTTAGATTTATATAGTAACAAAACTAACCTCAGATAGGATATCTTGTAAACACACTCTTTGCCATCCTGGGTACTAATAAAGCATTACCAGAATTTCTGGTTTGATTTTTCTAACATCTCTTATATAAAATCATTCCATCCAACGGAAGGAGGTGGAGGCTAATTGAATTAGAATTTCTTCCACTCAATTGTTTTATTTAAATGTGTTAAGGGCAACAGTGAAAAATATTGTCTGCCATTATTTCTCAGAAAGAACATATTCCCACACAGTTGTCTGGCTCCGTCTATAATAATAATTTGGTGCAATGGTTTAAAAGGAGTGGGGTGATAATAATTAGGGTGTGTGACACAGAAATTTCAATGCTGGATTCAACATTTCACCATGCAGAGCATGAAAATTGCCGACTGGGGCTAGTCAGCTCTAAGTACTAATTAACTAATTAATCAGGTGCTGAAACCAACTGAATGGAGGATACCAGCCAGACAACTCAAACCCAAGCAGAGGGTTGTGTTCTTTAAAAGACAGTGCTGTCTTTCTTCTTAGTTTTTAACTCAATCAAAAATGAGGAGAGAAAGTAGGATATGGTGTCCTACTGTCAATCATTTTGGTTCAAGCTTTTTACTTAGAGAAAATAAAATAAAAATATGTGCTACCGATAATAATTATGAGGCACCACGTGTAGGGCAATCGTCAAAGCTCTGCAAACCCGCTAACTCCTTGGCCATGAAGTATTTCGGGCAGGAGGGAGGGGGGGACAGTGTCTTATTGGAGCTTTTGTCTACAAATTTTTTTTAAACATAGGAGAATGAGAAACATATCTCTCCGTTTAGACTGATCTTAGGTCTTTTGCCTCATCCTTCGTTTATGTAAATGAGAAGAGTCCAATTACACATATGGAAAAAGGGTTTAATGAATCGTGAAAAAGCCCGGTTTCCAGAGAAAGGGCACAATTCCCTCTTCTTCTTCTTTTCCTCTTTTAAATTTAACTTAGAAACATGTATTTCTTTTAAGGAAGATGATAAAGCTTAATGATAATTTTATGTACTAATTTTCATATTTGGGAATTAGTAAACATGTTTTGCTGGTGATTTAGCTTCCTTTATTTTTGTCTGTAGGGCTCTGTAGAAACAGCAAATTTTCCACTACAAAACCTGCAAAATTATAACTTTTTTCTGTTAATTTTTAAAATGATTACATGTTAGTTCCTCCCATTTTTAATGTTATTGTTTAGCTCAGTGATAATTTTCCTTCTTGTACACAGTTTGCTCTGGAACTGCCTGCATTGAAAAAGGACTGCCTCTGCACTGAAACAAGGGATTTGTTATTAAACGCAAGGCAAAAAAGATGTTAGTTTCCCATACCGTTTAGTCTTAATCTTGGTATTATTATAATGTTTCAACTAGCTAGAACTTTTAGGGCGCTGGAAATTAAATGTTTCTTTTTTCTTTCTTTCCTAAAAGGGATTGAACTTTCTAGAGCAGAAAATCCCGTGTTTGGGCTTTCAGGTTTTCTCTCTCTTCTTTCCCCTTACTTTTTCATCTTGGAATTTTCGATAGTTGAAAGTAGTCCACACAGAATCTGCTCTCTACCCATTTTTCCTAATGACAAAAACCTTTGCAAGAATACTGGGGAGGAAATCCATACCATTTCTGACCGTTACTCTTAGAATTTGATAAGTATGCCTGCCACTGGCCCTGAAGAAGTGCTTTGTAGGGACAGCAGGAAAGTTCTTAGTCACGACAGGACAGCTTTCCGGAGACCTATTCGACAACCTGATTAGTCACTTGGAGAAACTGAGGCCCAAGAAGACAGAGCAGGCGCTTTTCCTGACGTGATTTCTCTTTCCGCTACAAAGTACTAGTTTGGTCCACAGAAAACACTTTTCTCAGGCACCTACTATGTGGACAACATTGCTGGGCTGCAGATGGCCTGCCTACTCATGAGGACCTCGCTCCTTCCACTCTATCCCCAGGCTTCCCCGGATCGGTGCCCTGGATGTGATCGACACCATATAGTTGCCCCATAATCCTCTCTGGCAACATAGGATGTAAAATTTGCTCAGCTCATTGGATGAAGCTGTCATGTCCCAAAAATGTGTGAAAAGGGGGCCAAGCAGTAGGCAAGCGCAGCGTTGAGGCAGCGCTCCTGCCGGCCCCCCTCCGAGTTCTCGGTGCGGCAGCCGAGGCGCGAGCGGGGGCT